CATCAGTTGCGGGGGGGGCACCTGGGGAGTCAGCGTTCACTTTGTCCAGCCTGCACGCCCTGGGCCGCAGGGCCTCCCTCAGAGGTGGGAGGGTGGAGATCAGCCGGCGCCAGGCTCCTTGGGCCTCCTTCTGCTTTGCCCACTGCCCAAAAGGGGCAACTGGGACAGTCTCCTGGCTCGGGCTCCAAGCCAGGAGATTGGAGCCACCCCATTCTCCCTCGTCCCCTTTCAGTGGCAGAAGGCTTGAGTTACTGGAGGTACAAAGATGTACAGAAACACGGCCATGGATCCTGACCGTATGGGGAATCGTATAAGCATGGCCCTGTCATACAGCCAATCCTCCCACCGGAGCAAGATGGGAAACACAAGTGAGGAACACTTATAGGGCTGTCCAGCATTAACCAATCATTTTTCCCCTGCTTATGAACTCAAAGAGAGCTCTGCCTCTCTTGTCAGTGCCTTCCCCTCCTCTAGATTCTGCTGAAGTCTGTTGTCAAAGGGAGTCATGTTTTGTCAGTTTGCTGTTTAATCTGATCACTTGTAAGTAGTGAAACATTTTTATTCATTCTGTCTCAGAGCAAGTTATTGGGACTATAAGTGCCAGTTGATGAAAAAAGGGATGGACTAATCTGGGCCATCTGAAGCTATTCTGCTGTTTTGTCAGTTTGCTGTTTAATCTGATCACTTGTAAGTAGTGAAACATTTTTATTCATTCTGTCTCAGAGCAAGTTACTGGGACTGTAAGTGCCAGTTGATGAAAAAAGGGATGGCCTAATCTGGGCCATCTGAAGCTATTCTGCTCCTGCAGGTCTGATACACCACGGTAGGGCCCTCCCAACTTGCCAAGAAGGTCATGGACATCTGAAGAAGGAGGACAACTTTTGAAGGAGTTGCTTTATCTTGTCTCCTTGCTGATGAGCGCCTCCAGCCGAGTGCCTTAAAAGCATCCCCCTTCTTACTAGCCTGTCAAGAATTAGCTTTTTGTCCTTTTCCGAATACAGCCCTTGGGATGAGTCACCGAGACGCTTGTGGTGAAGAATCAATGACTGGAAGTACATGGGCATCATGGCTTCCTCGGGTGTTTCCCTAAGTGAATTTTGCTGTCTCCGGTGGCTGTCTCTGTTAATATTTCATCTGCTACAAAAAGGGAAAGTAAAGCTGAGGTTTGAAAGGGAAGTGAAATGGAAGCGACATCGTTCCAGGAGGCCTTCGTGGGTTTGTGTGCGAGGGCAGGGGAGGAGGAGGCGGGGGGGTCAGAGAGGGAACCAGCTTCGGAGAAGGAATAGTTGCTCCAGCCTCAAAGCAAAAGGGGAATGAGTTCACACACCGGCCTCTTTGCTGACAAGTCCCATCACAAAAAACGATGCCCAAGTGCTAAGCAAACACGACTACTGCAGGTGTCAATAATGAATCAGCCAAGAAGAGGTCCCGTTGGGGGAAAGGCTCAAGGAATTAAACCCTAGGCGTCCTCATGAGGTCCTCTCAAGTGGATCCCCAAAAGGGCAGCAGCCTCCCGGGCCCTCTAGGTCTGCCAAGGACTCAGTGGGAGCTCCCCAGTCCTTCGTTCCATTCGCTGGCACTCGGGCACCACCGTGCAGCTTCCTCAAGGCCACACAGGTGGCAGGGCACAGAACCCGGCTAGCCACACACGTCCAAGGGATGTCAGGGTGGTCCCTCTCCCAGCAGCCACAGTCAGGAGACCAATTCCTGGTTGCTCTCCAACCCACTGAGCTTACACCAGCAGCCCTTAAATCCAGTCTTCCTCTCCTCCTGAGAGAGACTTGAAAAAGCTTCTTCTGCATGGATTATCCTGTTCTGACTCCTGTCCTCTGAAGATGCCGGCCACAGAGACCAGCGAAACGCTAGGAAGAAAACCCTTCAGAACATGGCCAAACAGCCTGGAAAACCTACGACAACCATTTCTCCTGGATGCTATTTGGCAAAGTTATTCTTTGGGACTTTTATGGCCCTATGGGATTCCAGGGGTGTGCAATCCCGCATAGTAACATCTCCCCATTCTGGACTTCAGGAGCGTCAGTTTTGTTTCAGTGAGCCCCAGACATTGACCACTGGAAACCTCTTTTGGCCACCTTCCTGGCCTCTGACCTTGCAGGTAAAAGCTTTGCCTTCTCTCAGAGCCACGTCTTTTTGTTCATATGGACTGGAAGCGTTAAAATGAAAACAGAGTATCTCTGATGTACACGTGAAACATGGAGCTTTCCTTCCACTTCTGCAGAGGTGTGGCCATTCACGCATCACTAACACGCCTCTAAAGAGTGGCCGAGCCAGGAGTTTCCATCTGCACAGCTGGCTTATAGCACGTTTGACCCTTGGCCCCTCCAGCCACCCACTGCCTGCTCTGCTCGGAAGCAGCTTTCCAAGGAGCGCGGGGGGGGGGGCTGTGTGTCTGCAGGAGCAGCTTTGCTGCTGGAGACTCAATTATTTTAGGACTGGGAAGTCTGATGGGCCCTGGGGTCAATTTTATTGCCTCGGGATGCTCCAGGAGACACACAAGGGAAGCCCCCTCGGGCATCTAGGAGCCCCTTCTCCATGCAAATTTCCTCGCAGAAACTGGGTCTGAGAGTAGACAGGAATGATATTTTCTGTGGAAGCACCAGCTTTGAAGAATACTCTCACTGAACAGGGGCACCGGTGTTCCCCACAGACAGAAAAATAACATCCACATGTGATGTGTGGTTCAGAGACATGATACCCTTTCTACGTTCAGAACTGAGCAATCAGGCTTGCAAACGAAGCCCATGCTTCCCACCCAAGGATGGTCTCAACTGGGAAGGGTGTGAATCGCTCCAGCCATGGCAATCATAGGGCACTTAAGGAGCTCCTTTCTTCTAACAACGCACATAGTTTGTAGCATGGCGCTTAGCCCTCAGACTGCGGCACGTGGTGTTTCCTTTTTGTGGCTTCTCCTAACGGAGGATATTTTATAATGGGACTGAATTGATTTTATTTCCATTTCCCCCACTGCTTAATGGCACAGCGAATGGCTTTTCAAGCAGTGTCGCCTGACGGAGAGAGAACGCCAGCAACACAGAAAATAAAAATCCTGCTTCTTCCCATTTATCTATCTTGACGTTGCCACAAGACTCTTGGTTGTTTTCCGTCTGCTAATCAAGGGTTGTGCACCTGCTGACCCGGGTTAGGGGTCCTGGCCCGAAGGCCAGCGTTACGCTATTATCAGCTCTTCTGAAGTTCTGGAATGTGGCAGGGCTGAGGCGGCCAAATCGGACGTCAGAACCAAAAAATGTTATCTCTCCTTTCTCTCGGCTCAGAAATCAACTCCACCCCAGCACTTGAGGCACAGCGAGGTGAACACGTCGGAAAATCTGGACGGGTGTGGAGCAGTCACTTCCTTGAGCCCACGAGGCAGACAAACTGAAGAAATGAGAAAAGTTACTTTTTTCAGGACCGCATGCCCCAGACTACCCCAGTCAGCCAGGCCAACAGCCATTCTGTTGGAGCTCTTTCTAGGAGCTGTGGGCCAAAAAAAAAAAAAAAGTAACTTTGGCAAAAAAACAAACATGCTGGATCTAAAGGCTTCCTCATATTCCCTTGTGAGGGAGATGGGCTAATCTGGTGGAAAAGCTGAACTTCTCACCACAACAGATGTACCACACAGTCCACCTCTAGAGACGAGGCTTCGTCCAAGCTTTCCTGAGGAACCCCAAAAGCATGCTGCAGAGTTGTCTGGAACACAGTTTGACAATCAATGATTGATTGATTGATTGTTTGATTGATTGATTGATTGATTGATTGGATTTTTACACCACCCGGCTCCTGGCATGCCACCACTCTGGGCAGTTCACAACCAAAAAGCATCTAACCTCCCCAAACCATCAAATGTATAAACGAAAAAGCATTCCAAAAGAACCCCCAGAGGTGATGGTGGCCAAAGACAACATTAAAAATGTACCACAGACATAGCAGCCATCATGAGGGTAGGGTTTTGTGGAAAGCTTCTCTGGTAAACTGTGTCTGGACTCGCTTTCGGAATGCTAGGAGGAGAGGGGCTTGGCGCACCTCTGGTCGCAGATCGCCTGGCCTCCTCTTTTCAAACTCCATAGACTTTCCCAAAAAGTTGTGTGCGCTCTGAAGGCCCACAGTGCACTAAAGGTGATCTAAAATGGCATTTTCTTCTTCTTCTTCTTCTTCTTCTTCTTCTTCTTCTTCTTCTTCTTCTTCTTCTTCTTCTTCTTCTTCTTCTTCTTCTTCTTCTTCTTCTTCTTCTTCTTCTTCTTCTTCTTCCTCTTCCTCTTCCTCTTCTTCTTCTTCTGCCACCGCATCCCACTCATGTTTGGCTCATGTTTAGCTTGTGGTCCACTAAGACCTCTAGATCTAGTGGTCACTGCATACAAAAGACCAGCTAAGCCACCGCATCCCATTCATGTTTGGTTCATGTTTAGCTTGTGGTCCACTAAGACTTCTAGATCTAGCGGTCACTGCATACAAAAGACCAGCTAACGACACCCATCAATCACGGTGACAGATCATTTCTCCCCCTTATACCCACAACAAAAACATGCTGATCACCATAATCCCCCAATATCCTGGAAAGGACAAAAAGTTGATCCCACGGCTATAAATACTCAACTATCCCATGAAACTGCACCAGAGCACAGAGAGAGTTCTGATTCCTGTCCTCTGAAGCTGCCGGCCACAGAGCCTGGCGAAGCGTTAGGAAGAAAAACCTCCAGAACACAGCCAGACAGCCCAAAAAAACCTACAACAACCATCAGATCCCAGCCATGAAAGCCTTTGAGAATACTTCTAGATCACTTTCACTGGTACTCTGGCCATGCCAGTTGTTGTCTGTCCTCTATTTCCTGCTCCAATGTAGAACTTTGGCTTTTTGTGTGCTGAAACTCACAGTTGCCATAAGTCAGGGGCAAGCTTGACAGCACATAACAACAGCAACCACACCTCCTCCATCCAAGTCATGGAGAAAGATGATAAACCATCCCCAGCCTAAGAGGGAACCTCACGGCTTCCCAGTCAATGTGATCAGATTCGGCAGATTCACCTATTTTTAAAACCATGCCCCTTAACCAGCTACACGTCTTCCTAAAAGGAATATGGTCCAGACCGTGTTTAACTAGCCACATGCATATTAGAAGCAACGGTGTCACAACCTTTGCTGAAAGAAAGATACTGTATACTGAAGCTACTGGCTTTTCGTTCTCGCTGTCTTCTTTCCTAAGTGGTCACCGACTGTTTGATCGTTTATTCTAGAACCTTTCCATGTTGTTGCTACAATCAAGAGTGCACAGGTTTTCTCTCTCTCTCTCATTTCAGAGGGCTAATGGTGATGGTGGTGGTGATCCTCACCTACACTGGAATATTTCCTAGTTGTGAAGGACACTTGGCGGATTCCTGAAATAAAACCTTAGAAAGGAAGGAACGGCTCCTAATATCTACTGGTTCTGAGTTGAGCTGGCTCTCTGACTAGCTATCCTTCATCCCGCTGATCAGAAGGAAAATGCCCGCTTTCCTGTTCCACCCCAGGCTTCCTTACCAATCTGCAGAGTGTGCATCGTGGGTACGACCAGGGTCGACATCTTCACGTCCCCTTCCTGACTGAAAAAAAAGAAGAAGAAGAATCAGCAAACATTGAGTTCTGGCAGGGGTTTCACAGGCTTGCGGTCCTGCAGGATTACCTCCCCGACCTCTGCAGCCCTTTCAGGTTTTTCTGAAGACCAGGCTGGGTGATGCCCCCAAAGGTCATGCTTTGAGCAGGGCTGCCGGCCAAAGAACTCCGTTGCCCTGGACCTCTTTCCATACGTTCAACATGGAGTAAAAGGAAGGTGTGTTTGTGTACACAGTGGCACCTCTGTGGGAACTGGCTGCTGTCCTTCTGGGCTGGCCTTCCTCAGCCTGATGCCCTCCAGATGTTCTGGATCACAACGCCCACCCACCCCCACCCCAGCTAACAAAGGGAAGGGGAGAGCGGTTCAAATCTGTCCAGGTCCAGAGGGAACTTACGGCCACCTCCGCAGCCGTTGGCCAACACTCCCCCTCTTTTTGTCCCAAGGAAATTGAGCTTTGCATGTGGAAGCATGCTGCACCGTGTCCCATCATCCTTGGAAGCTTGGTTAGTGAGTCCATGATGCTGGACTTGCTTGGCCGCTGCACCTCAGCTGTGCAACGTGCTTCCTAGGCAGGCCACATCGACCTCATCCCTGTGCAAATTTCAGCAGGCAGCTCAAGCAACGGGGACTTGAGTCTCAAGACTCGCTGTCACGTCGGACTTGAGTCTCACTGGTGACTCCACTGAACTTGTTCCCCCCCCCAGTGACTCAGACCCTACTCAGGACCCACCCACCCCTTATATATTTTTTTTCTGGGGAAAAAGCTTGTTTTTAATAGGGACTTTGACATGGGACTTGAGATTCGAGACTTGGTACCAAAGACTGGCCGACACCCCTGTGGGTGGCCTTTGATGTCTGACTTTGACATTGGCCTTCAAAGAATGTCTTGAATGTTTTTTTAAAGCATTTTAAAATCCAATGCTTTAAATAATGTTTTTATCTCTTAGACAGTCCCCCGTGACCCTTGCCGGGCAGACAACCAATGCATACATATTAAAGCTAAACAAATAAGAGTATAATATCCCACATGTGATGTTCTGTTCCAGTAAAATGCATTTGCCATGCAAGAGCAGTCAAAACAACAGGTAGAGAAATACGGTTTTTTTCCAGCCACAACAGCCGGGGGCCCTGATAGCTAGGCTCTCCTGGGAGCTGAAGTCCGAAAACAGCAAATTTTCCAGTGTTCTAGTTTGAACTCATCCTGTATTAAATGGGGGGAACCTTCCGCCCACAGACTACACAAGGTCTAAATCCTAAAGTTCTGTGTCTGTGTCGTGGATTGGGTCCTCCACATCCCCAGCAGCCTGGGAGGTCTGTCTTGAAACTTTCCCATGAACAAAGACTGGCTTTCCCGTCTTCCTTTGGAAAGACCAGGAACACACTTCATTGCCGCTTGGCTTCAGACTACCAAAAATCAGG